TAAAACAAAAAAATTAATGAAAAACTAAAAAAGTTTAGGTTCAATAATTTCTTCAATAGGTCTCTTTGCAGTGGCACTCTGTGCACGAACAACACTCTATAACTTCACAAGAACACTAGCATCCACTATTCCGTCTCTCTAGAGGTGAGGTATGCCCTCTCATTGCACACGGGTGTGGCACAGGTGCCATTCAACCAAGACCGAGAATCTGCTACGATTCTGAGTCATACTTGAGGACAGTGGAAATCTAGATCCTCTGAGAAGTTAAAAATTTATGAAAAAGGTGACCTAATTCAGAGAGGAATGACTTATTATAGTTAAATTTTGCTGGACAAAAAAAAAAAAAAAGAGAGAGAGACCATTCCCGATCCCGATGAATGTTCAAGATAGAGTAGAGAGGGTCACGTTACATACAGACTTTTAGAAATGATCCTGGACTTGGGGATCAGGTTCACATATGAACTTCAGAACTTAGCAGATGGCCATGCACCACAGCAGAGTTGGAGTGAGACCTTTTAACTATTCTAGATAGTGCACTTTAATGGTTCAGCAATAAATAAATAAATAAATAAATAAATAAATAAATAAGCTGGGCGTTGGTGGTGCACGCCTTTAATCCCAGCACTCAGGAGGCAGAGCCAGGCGGATCTCTTTGAGTTCGAGGCCAGCCTGGTCTCCAGAGCAAGTGCCAGGAGAGGCTCCAAAGCTACAAAGAGAAGCCCTGTCTCAAAAAACAAAAACAAAAATAAATAAATAAATACAGGTTTACAGAAATGAATGCCACACAGAGTATCAAAAACTAAGAAAAAGGATGAAATAAATTGACTTGAAATCCTACGGGTCTCTGTGTCACAGAATGGGACAGCACTTGTCCACATGCGGCATTCCCACCAGCAATGCTGCATCACCTGGCAAGTTGTCATAAATTAAGTTTTGGTCTTATCCCATTTGCCTATCCTCCCTCCACCCTACTCCCTTTTGGAACTCTGGATATGATGCCTATCAATTTATTTTTATGAAACCCATCATACAAAGCCCAATTTTGATGATACTGATACAAGATTTTAAAGTTACAGTAAAAACCTGTGGCCCCTAACCAATTAAACAGAGAAACGAACCTTAAAGGGGTGTTGTAAAGTAGTGGTGTAAGAGTCCACAGTGGGCTGTTGGCTTGTTAGCATTTCTGAACACAGGGAAGGTTTTGAAGTACACACACACACACACACTAGCAGTGTAGTCTATCATGCTCTGCGCTGTATCTATAGCTGCACCCCTCTTTCCTCTTTGTTTTAAACTTTTGAGACAAGGATCTTGCTAATTTGCCCAGACTGGCGTTGAACTTGCTTTGTATCCAGCCAGGCCTCTGGTTTTCAATCTTCGTGCCTCCTCCTCCTTCTGAATAACTAAGGTTACAGGCCTGGTAGCCCAGGCCCAGATTAAAGCTAACTTTTGATTTTTCACGCTAATGAATGTAGAAAGTTGTTGACAATCTCTATTTTCATTTGGCTCTGCAGTAAAAGTGACTATTTTCTGTCAGTTCCTTTCTTTGTTTCACTAATGATCACATCAACAAAGAGAAATGGAGCCTGTACTCAAGTCTCTTAACAAGCATCTGCTTCCATCTCATCATGTGTACCGCTGTCTGGATAGCATCACAAATCCTTGATTCCATGGACACTCTATCCTTGGGTATCTAATTCCTCTTATTGGAGGGGATGGGCATGCTGGGGATCCAGTCTTGTCTTGACCATTTGTGCATGACAGGTGGATGTTCTACACGGAGTCCCATCTTGTTTTAATATCTGGGTAAGTTAGCCAGCATTGTTGGTGTCTCATCAGCATTTTCCTTTGCAGTTGGAACTGTTAAGAGTTAACCTATTTTGTATGTGTGAACTGTAACCTGAATTTAGTTAAGGGCTCTCACTCCCTTTTCCACCTTTCAAGAGACTGGAAGAATCTTGCAAAAAAAAAAAAAAAAAAAAAAAAAAAAAAAAAAAAAAAAAGGAAAAAGGGAAAACCATTTTATGCTTTTAGTTTAAAAATGTAGGCTGCAGAGGTATGGGTTCCAGTAACTGCAACCTAAACCACAAAATATATAAAACCACAACTAGATAATCAAGGAGAATAATAATCTGTCCATCTGAATCTGGAACCAAAATTTTTCACTATGTAAATAACCTAAAATGCTAGACCTCTCTACGCCACTCCTGGCGTCTGGTCTGGTAAAGTATTCATACAAAAGGGACCCACAGGCCTCCGTGTGGGTGTCAACACCGTGGCGGAAGTGGCATCCCCATAAGTAACATATTTGGGTACCAACGGTGCTCTGGGAAAATGACATTTAAAAGCCTCCCCCTCCCCCTTCTCTAGCTGAGGACAGAAAAGCCTAGAGGAGGAATGAGTAACTTAAGTCCTTTCTCTCTGGATCTCTCCACCCTGTCCTTAACTCGGCTGCTCTCAGTCTCCCAGCCCACAACCGTTACCTCCATCCGGGGAGCCAGGGCCTCTCCGTTGCTGCCTGCTCCAGCCATGTTGTCCAAGGCTCGCGGGTGCTGCTGGGACTGAGGCAGGGCTAGTGGGGGCGGGCGGGGCGGGGGAGGGTGTCTTGGAAGATAGGCTACACTCAACAGAGCCAAGAACCCAGAACAACAAAACTTGGATGATCTCAAGAAATACATGAGAAAAGCAGGCAGTTAGTCCCAGACCCGAGTTCATTTGCTGAAGGAAGCATTTGTCACAGTGGAGCCCCTATCGCACACTTGTACTTTGTGGACCATAAGGCGCCTTTAGACCCCTTTTCATGTTATCTGTTAGGAACGCTCCGCCTCGGAATTACTGTTGACAGTATCTGCAATTCTAAACTGATGCTCAAATGAGCTAATACAAAATGAGTTTCTCTAACTCAATTATGGTAGGACCAATCTGCCTTCTTGAGAAAGGAATCCCCATGTTTTGTTTAGGGCTGGTGTGCATGTATGATACACTTTCCTTCTGTTTTTTTTGGTGAGCTGTTACCTCTCAGTTTGTCCAATTAAAAAGCATTAACTTGGCTTGGATGATGATTCTAGGGTGTGTAAGGAACGAGAATGTGAGTTCAGATCCCCAGCACTCCTGCCTCAACACACAATATGGAAAAAAAAGCTGGGTTGGCAGCGGGAGTCTACAAACCCGGCAATGACTAGATAGCCTGACGGAAAGACCAATGAGATCAATGTTCACTAAGAGACCCTGTTAAAAGAGATCATTGCAGGAAGCAATATTGCAGAAGACTGCTCTCCCATTCCCGCATGGGGGCAAACCCATACCAATGTGCACATATACCACACACACACACATCAGCAAGATGCCCCAAATTTACAAAGTGAGTTAGAGAGGTATGAGGGAGAGCTGTACTTGGGTCATGGGAAACCTAAGTTTGGTGGGGAAACAGACTTAGCAACAGGAATAACTCCAGGTATTGTAACTTGTATGTAGATACAAATATTAAGAATTTATAGATGACTCATGAAAACTGTAGATAGTGTGTGGAAATGCCACACCCACTACAACATACCCTTAATTTAGACACCAAATGTAATCATTAAATAAACCATGTTCCAAGTTTTTGATAAAGTATCAGAACACTGACCTGGTTTATAAAGGAATACATGTGAGGAAAAAAATAAAGACTGTAACCTATTTTTTTCTGTTAAGAATGTTGATTTTCCCATAAATGGTCTCTGACAAAATCTGACCCTAAAAGCTAAAATATTATCATATTGGAGAGGCAGCAATACCTTATTTTGTCATGTTCTCATTCCCTCCCTCTGCAGCCTACTTTAAAACTGAACTGAAAACTCCTTTGTGATGTGCCAGCTAATTTGTGATAGGTACATTCTCTCTAAACAGTTAACCTCCTAAGTCAGGTACCAGGGAGCACACCTGTCCTCTGCTGTGGTGCCTACAACTTACAACTGGTTTGAAGGTTGGAATCAAGAACAAAATCAACACTGCATATTATTTATTTATATATTTTACATAAAAAATTTCCAGTATACAAATAAACCAGTAAATCCTCACTTATAATCATTTTGATACAAAAATGGTTTAAAACCCACGTTAATTTCAACAGTAACTAATTATTATAAGTTTAATCATGAAGTTTCTGGAAGATGGGTTAAATGGTGAAAAAAAGGGCGGCCATGGACACACCCTTTAATATCATTTCCAAACTGGTGCTTCATTTTACAGATAAGATCTTGGATGTCCTCTCTTGGTAAGTACATGGGTAATTGTCGTGACAGCCGGACTGCTTCTCCCTGTAAAAAGAAAAGTGACACATTTCATCATGATAGACCCTGAAGTAAAAATACATTCTGGCAAGATAAAAACTGATATTCATTCACTTAAAAATATTTATTAAGCACCAACAATGCTGTAGATTCTGGAGATAAAGTAGTGGGCAACTGAACCCAAGATCTTCTCATGGAATTTACATTTTAATGCAGAGAAACAAAAAACTGATGAGACAAAAAACTGAATAAATAACATACACACAATTAACTGAGCAATAGCAGTGACTGTGTAAACAGGAAGCCTTACTCAGAGGGATGACATTTAGGCTTTTCAATTAGCATGCAAATGCCGTGAGCAAAGTAAAGCATTTCAGAGAATGGGATGTTCTGTTTGGGTGTGGCAGAGAGAAGCAGACAAGACAGAAGTTGAGCATGGGGGGACGGGGAGACACTGGGACCAGATCACTGTCCAGGACAGGAGGACTGGAGTTTATTTGAATACACAGGGAAGGAACCAAGGTTGAAAAATGCCTGCCAAGTGTTTCCCATGCCATGGCTGCAGAGAGAAATGGGGTTTGAGGCTGACAACCATTGTGATGCTGGTGAGAGCTGTGGCTGTAGTGACAAGAGCTGCTATGGTATCTGCCTTACAGGTGGTTAGCAGACTGGTTATGAGGCCTGCCAAAATCAAAGGGGATGCCCTCAGGTTTGGTATAGAAATGTCATTTTCTGATACAGGAAAAAGAAGGGCTTAGGGGATGAGAATTATAAACTAGGCTGGTTCATTCAATATCAAAAAAAAAAAAAAATCCTGCACCTTAGAGTTGTGCATTTCAACATTATTCTCTTTAGCCACAAGTCTATCACCCTAACAATTTCACCATAATCTGTCTTTCCTTCCCTTTGACCTTTAGCCTCTCCTTACTCTCAGACTCACAAGCCTCCCTGGAACATCTTTCCTTCCCCGAGGTTGAGTAGTGAATGAACTACTCAGAATCCAGCACTAGGGTCGACTTAGTGAGTTTCTGGTGTACAGTGTGTTTGGGTGTCTCTCACTGATCCTTAGTCTCTCACCATATCCAACTTGTTAATATCCTTTGTGTAAGATAAATTCTACCATACAATACTGGAGTCATGCAGCTGTTACGGTCTGACCCAATCCAAATGTCAGGTCTTAAGAGCCCTCAGTGACACCTAGAGATTGTCCTGTTCTGCACAGACTGTCCTTTCTTTTATTGTAGCTATTTTCTTGGTTTCAGATCTGTTACAGTACTGACATGCCCAAGTCACCCTAATCCTCCACTCCAAGCAGACAACTTTTCTCCTTTCACCACAGGCACCTTCTTATTCACCTCAAGTTTCCTTTTAGCTAGCTTTGACACTGTATATGTGTAATCCCAAGTACCTGGGAAGTTGAGACAGGGAGACTGGTATGAGTTTGAGACCAGTCTGGGCTACATAGTGAGGTTCCCAAACAAACAAACAAACAAACAGACAGACAAACAAAAGGACAAAAACATCCTTCCCCCCCCCCCCGAAAAAAAAAAACCCACTGGAATATTTATCATTCCCTTTGGTTTTTCCAAATAGGGTTTCTCTGTGTAGCTCTGGCTATCCCTGAACTCACTCTGTAGACCAGGCTGGCTTCTAACTCAGAGATCCTCCTGCCTTTTGTCTCCCAAGTCCTGGGATTAAAGATGTGTGCTTGGTCAGCTTCTTTTTTAAAAGAGCATTCCCATCACAATCATACCTAGTTACTCCAAGGTGATTCAGATGAGCAAATCCATTTAAGTCTAGTCTCAACTGGTTTTTTCTCCATTACTTCTGAAACTTTATTTCTTGTCCACATGTTTTTTTGCTCTTAAGAAAAAGACTTCTTTGGAGTTCCCTGAAACTATCAGTGCTGAATTGCCCTGCCAACGGGCTGGGAATTTCCACAAGGCAAAGCTCCCAAGGGCTTTGTCAACAGAGCTGGTCTGAGTGTACTCTCCAGAGTCACGGGGATGGGCATGCCCTGTGTCTGAACACCATGGACAAGAAAGAGGATGTAAATAAAGTCATATTTGTTTTGAAAATAACAATAGCTGACCTTAATGGGAGACACTTAGAACTTCAGTGCAAAAGTCATGGCCCTTAAACTATACTTGGATGGGCTTAGCCCTCTTCTTTTAAGACAAGGTATGTAGTCCTGGTTGGCTGCAAGTCTGTGATCTCCGTGCCTCAGTTGTTTGAGTGCTGGGAGGACAGAAACAACATCAAGCCCTGCTTGCTCTGAACTTTTTAAACCTAATTTTGCAATTCTCATTTTGGTAGATGCTATAAAGTCTTAGCAAAGTGAAATTTCCATTTTTTCAACAATTTAGCTCCATTTACTCAATAATTTAGATCTTTCTCTTCCTTTTGAAGAGCTCAGGTTTAGAATCAAAATACAATGTTTTAGACAAACAATATGATATAAAAGTTGAAAAATTTGGAATCCATTCTGAGATTACATATGAAATTAATAGAAAACAATCCTACAGCGTGTTTCATAAATAAGAGTGTCTCAAAATTGTATTATAAGAGCTCTCATAGCATTTATCACAGTCTATGCTTTGAAATATTTTTATTGAGTATTTTAAAATAGCAGTTTCTTTGTGAAAACAAACATTTTAGAATCTACCCTTTTGGCCATTTACTGTGGGGCTGAGTGGGTGACATAGCCCTTGAATCCAGCAGAGGGTTAAAGGAGGGTGGCAGAGGCAGTGCATCTTTGAGAATTCAAGACCAGCCTGGTTCACGGAGGGACTCTAGGCTAGCGAGGGCCCCATAGTAGGACCCTATCTTAAAACAAGACAAAAATAAGGTTTCTATTTGATTAAGAGCTGTAAAAGTGAGGTCACCCATGTGACCAAAGAAGCGCACCTCCAGATAACTCGCCACTTTGCGTGGCCTGCATTCGTAGAGCTCCTTTGCATTTCTGTCTATTATGGCATTAAGAATTTCCTTTAAATCCATTACTCCATAGAATGGGAGACACTTAGCCATGCCTTCTATTTCCAAGTAGTTTTCAGTACTGGAAACTCCTGAGAGAAAAAACAAAAACACACAGGGGCATAGTTAAGTTAGTTAGCATTATATTCCAGAACAAATCCATTGGAAAAAAAATCACTGTTAGAACATTTAGTGAACCTTCATCAGAATTTAATATTTCAGGACAAAGTTTGTTCCTTTATGGAGAACAAATAATAATTTCCCAGAAGGCTTCAATTAAGTCATAGGTGCTCAGTGACACCACATGTGCTTTATATAATTTAATTGAATCTCAGTTCCTACTGTCTGTTCCTCGCATTTAGTTAGAACATTGCTTTCTTTGGAGAGAGAATGAAGTCCCATGATATTTATTAAAATCAAAATGGTTTGAGTGTTTTATCAACTGCTGTACTTCAAGTTCTAGCCCACTGGCCTTATATCTAATTTAAAGACCTCAATTATTTTAACTTAGCAAGAATAAAAATAGACACTTGTTACTATAGTATTTCAGGAAATTAAAATGCTAGTGTTTATTCAAAGATTCAACTAAGAAAATACTGGAAACTGGTGTTATTTATTAAGCTATTTTAGGTAATTTAGTCATTCAAACCAAGGGCCACATGACTGAATGTGTAACTGGGCAGAACATCCACAGTGGTAGGTATTCCAAAGCATCAGCTCTGACACTAGCGAACAGAAGGCACTCATCCCATTTGAACGATAGCACCCTTATACTGGAATCAATATCGTGCCACCTAGAACTGTGGATTAATGGCTGTTGGTGAACCAATGAAAACAGGAGTGTGGTAGAGCTTGAAGGACTGCAGGTCTAGGGACTTGAATGATCTGCTCTCAAACCTGTTCTCAGTTATTGCGTAGTTTCAAGACCAAATGGTAGATGCAACAGTGGCAGACCGATCAGTAGGAACACTAATGTTTCCCTCAGGAAACAACTGAGGAAAGATGAGATGATATATCATCGAGCACTACAAGAAGAGCTACAGAGTTCAATGATGGGAGATGAAATGAGCGGAAGGACCTCAAGTGGGACTCAAAATCACCAACCAAGGAAGGCAAGGAGGACACAGCAGGCTCCAGGCCATCCTTCTTAGATATTTACACAGATCTGAAGAAAAGGCTCCTTCCAGCAATACAAACTAGAGAAACAGATAAAGAAACAAAATCTGTCCCCCTCCACACACACCGTTCTTCATACTTCAAATTTTCCAATTAAAAGATGCCAGAGGCCTCAAGGAAAAGATCTCAACGAAGACTAAGAGAAATGACTCTGAATCAGTTCAGGTCTGAGAGGGGCTGAAGGCTGGAGAAGGATTTAAACGGGTAGCCATGCTACTGCAGAGTACTAAGCTTATTTTTTGTTTGTTTGCTTTCTGTTTTGGGACCTCCCTATGTAGCCCAAGATTGCTTTAAACTCATTATATACATCAGGATAGTCCCACACATGAAGGAAGCACTGTTCCTGTCCCAGCCTCTCAGGGTATGGTAACAAACATGGATCACCATGCCCAGCCTTGCCAAGGAGTCCTGTTACCTCTGGGTTTACACTTACTTTGTGAAGATAATATACTCACTTTAGTGGAGGGCTATGCAATGAATTTCTTAAGGGTTGGACTCTCGAGGCAGCCCGTGTGGGTTCTAATCCTAGATCTAACACTGAGTGTCCTCTAGAGCACACTTAACTTTTCCAGGCTTTAACTTTTTTCATCTGTAAAACAGAGACTGCCATAGAAGCTACTCTGGAGATGGCTAGGGGAGTAAACAGGCTGATATGTTAATTCTTTGAAGGCTACTCTGCATATAATGGTTACTCAAAAGTTATTAGCTGTTACTAACAAAGAAACTGAGAACTGTGTATTCTGGACACGCAATCTCCATCCCATGCCTAAGCAGCTGGAATCACGGAGGTAAGGTGTTCTGCAGAGATATCTTTACCTTGTCAAACTGTGAAAATCACCCAAAATTGGAAGTTTGGAATACTGAAACATTTTTTCCCAGATATCCAGCTCTGTGCTTCTATATACTGTTGTTACTTATTTTCTTTCTAATATTTATTATTTTCTGTATGTTTTGTCTGCATTGTGTGAAGCCTTGCATGAGGAGGACAGAACAGGTTGTTGGATTCTGTGGAACTGGAGTTACAGACAGTTGTGTGCTGCTCTGTGAGTCCTCTGGAAAAGCGGCCAGTGCTCTTAACTGCTGAGCCATCTCTCCAGCCCCCACTTACTGTGTCTCTGTGAAAATACTCCTTTAAAAAATCCTTTCTGGCATTTTGGATGTGATAATTTATTTAGGCAATGGAGTCTTTCTGAATGGTGCCTGTGGCACTGGACAGAAGACAAAGGGGAAGTAACAGAAAGGCTAACCCAGGGAGCTATGGCAGTATGGAATCTATAAAAAGACAGAGAAGGCCAACAAAGAACTGGACTCCCCACAGCAGATACATTCTTTTCAATCTGTCTGGTGAGGCCATGGAATCCAGACGTTCATGTGAGACAGCTGATGCTCCATGTCACTTGGCAAAACAAGTAAATGTTTTTAAGCATCAAAAGAGATAGCCATTTTCATTAGACCATTTACATATTTGTTTTGTCACCAAAGAGTTCTGATAGCTAGAAGGCAGCTGGGTTGCCATGTGGAAAGACAACAGAAAGTGCACCGATCACCTGAATGGCCCTCTGAAGGAAGTCCACTTCTGCACAGCTGACAATGACTTATAGTGAAATGAAAATATACCTGAAAACCCCAAAAGCCAAATGCAGCTCTTGAAAGAAGGTTTATTTTTTTTTCCCCAAGTCAGAGATATTAAGCCACATTATTGTACCTGGTGTCAGTTTGATCTTGAAGCCATTTGCTGTAAGACGAGGGTCACTCAGGTAAGCTGATCCACTGCATCTCTGGTCGACTGCTGACATTTTATGTAACACCTCTAAATAATGAGACCCATTAAAAAGACTGAAAAAGAAAGAAATTAAGGTCCTTTATCTTAAATATTCAAATTGAAATAAGAGGATTTATGGACGATAATCCAGGGGTGTTTTGAAGAGTGTGCCACGCCCTGTAAGGAAGCACTCTGCATTGTTAGCATTGTATAAGAGGCCCAATGTGGAGTATGCCCAGAAAGGAGGAAGAACAAACATAAAGGACAACTTGTCTCTTTGAGAATGTCACAAACTAAATGAGAAATATGAACAGTATTTCTCTAAATATAGTACAAATCAAAAATTAACCCACGGTGAATACCTTTAAAGTAGCTATCTGAAATGAAAAGCTACTCACTTTGAGTAGTTATGCTCAAAGTCAAATGCTACTCAAGGCTTCTTCAATAGCAAGAAGATTAAATAGAAGATCCCTTTTCTTCCAAAAACTGGTAAATTTTTCAGTTCAAACCTTGGGAGAGAGTCTTTCAGTCCAATGCAAGCACAGCATGCTTGACAAAGGTGCCCCTGAAGAGTCATTACAAAAGAGAGCTGACCACAGCAGAGAGACTGACTAAGGTACACAACCAAGCGCTGTCTGAGGTACAGTGTGTTGTTACAAATCCATTCCCCTTGGAAAACAAATGAAGTCTTTCAATTGGCTCAGAAGGCTGAGGACTCCATTGACGGTGAGAGCAGATATCACGGAACACTATGGCTGTATGTGTAGCTCATCTCACCAACTCTGTAAGATCACAGTGGAGTTCCCGTCATCCAGTAAGGGCTCAGCAAACGTGAACCATTGTTCTGTGGTTATAATCGCTATATACATACTTCAATCACTCCCTTCAGACATAAGTTACACAGCTAGCATTAGTCTACTGTTGAAAACACTGCACCCAATCCATAGCTCCCCTATCAGCCCAGTGAGGTGCTCAGTCCAGGGCTCCATTAGAAAAGCAGCATCAGATACCAGGGAGACACTTGGAATCACTTTTCTCAGGGCCGATGCTCAGTCAGGAAAACTGCCTCCCTTAGAGCATGAGCACAAAAAACAGCTCTCACTGCATCTCTGTGAACAAAAAAAGTCACGCTAACATGTGTAAGAAGCTGAATTTTAAGTAGGCACAGAAAGAGTTTCTGAAAAGTAAATGAAAATCTATAAATACCATTGAGAAAAGCAATCAAGTTACCAAATCAGATGTGTCCTGGCTGTTCATGAGGAAACAGGGAAAAACTGCTGTCAGTTGTTCCTTGGGTAAGATTCCCGAGTCAGTCTCTAGAAAAGCTGTGGACAGTCCTAAGTTTTTGTCATGTGATCACTGCTGCCTTATTGAAAAGACAGACTGGACAAGTGTCCTCCTGTTTGTGCTATGTTGTTTTTCATTAAATGGCCATATTCTCAACATACCCCCACACGGACACTGCTTTCTTTATTCCTGGTCCTTTTGAAGTTATCCAGTGATGAACATTCTATTGAGAACATTCTTACCAGCCTGTAAACTGCAGTTTTAGATACTTTGTCCTAGTATTTCAGTCTGGTTCAGACTAGAAACTAAGTGTTAAAAAAAGATAGTTTATAGCTTGGTTATTACTTATTTGTACATAAACAAGTTACTCATATAAGATATAAAAAAGACACACCACCTTTACAATGAAAAAATATAATTAGTTCAGGCAACAATTATTAGCAGATTATTAGACATTAGATAGAGAGGTAGTTGAGGACTTTGAGAGGGAGGATCACCTTCGTCCAGAGCTGGGGAACTGTGCTGAGGTTTGAAGCACACAGCCCTTCCTGCTGGGTGGAAGCCCCACTGGAGAGTAAACTCTAAGTCTCCTCTCTTTTCCTGTGGTTAACCTCCAGCTAAAGACAGGGGAGGTGAGGGATAAGTACCTTATCAGGAGCTGGAGAGATGGCTCAGTGGTTAAGAGCACTGGCTGCTCTTCCAGAAAAGACCAGAGTTCAGTTCCTAGCACCCACAGCTGGTTGCTCACAATGGCCTGTAACTGCAGCTCTAGGGGTCTGATGCCTTCCTCTGGCATCTGAAAGCACCCAATTATATGTGACTTACACACACACAAAATAAACAAATAAACAAATGTCAAAAAAATCCCAACCCCAAAACCTCAATGCTAATCAGAGACAAAAGAATATTTCATTGACTGCTACATAGTAAATCAATCACACAATAAAAAAACTACACCCAAATATAATATGTAGAACTTACAGATAGAAATTAAATTCAAAATTATAAAACTAAAAAACCAAATAAAACAAAAACAAAACCCTTGGGAACAATGAGGAACAATTCTAAGCTTTCATTATTGAGCAAGGTATGAAAAAGGCATTTGTGATTAGGTTAAAAACTAATCATTTTTATGAGTATGTGAAAGGACTAAGAGTAAGAATTATTCTCACATACTTTAATGAATGAAAGGAAAAGTGTCTATGTACATACTTGTATACAGCTAGAAACGGGATGGGGCAAAAACTCTTGGTAATGCCTGCTAAAGGCATTCACTGTTTAATTCTGCTCTGGTGTTTGCTAATGACAGAACAGTGGAACAGCAGAGAGAGCCACAGCCCTCTAGCTTTCGGTTATCTTAGAGAAGTCACAAAGGTACAGGAGAAACGTGCTTGCGTACTGAGTCAAGATGTAACTCACTCAGAATCTTCTAACATTGTTTCTAAGCAGTTAGTGGCACCATTAGTGTTCAGAAAAACTTTCTAACATATTCCTTCAAATAAGTATCACTTATCCTAACTAGAAAAGAACCTTCAACTTTTAACATTAAACATTAAGAGTTAAAGAAAAAAAAAACCCTCTTACTTTACCATACCTCTCTGTTAATACAATTGGCTTTTCCAGTGGCTCTGCAGGGAGTTTATGATTCTCAAGGAGTCTTTTAAATAGCAGGGCTTCCTCCACTCTGTATGGGTTCAGTAACATGACATCTGTTCTGGATGTGACCAGCCATGCATCAGGAAACTTGAGACTGTGGATCAAGCAAATCTCATCCTTCTCTTCCAAGTCAACTTTCTTCTGTTTCTTAAAATTCACTTTTAAGTTTTCCATAGAAAAGGGGACCTCAGCTATTTTAATATTTTCACTCTTCCTTTTTTCATTCTGGGACTGAAAGAGCTCCTCAAGCTTTGGCTGATTAGATAATGAGGCTTTCAACTTGTGTTTTTGTGTCAACCCCCACGCACTGGTGGCCTTTATCTTTTTTCTGCCATCTTTTAATGATACTTGTGGTTCCTGTTCAATAGCTTTCTTCATTTGATTATTGTATCGTTCCAAGTCTTTTTTAGCTTTTTCTTCATATCTAAAAACAGAAAAAAAGAACTAATGAGCTCAAAATAAAAACAATAATTATCTGAAGTAAACTCCATTAAAAATGAGCTGTTATTCAATAATGGCAAGGAAATGTATATTAGAGTGGCCCTCTTTTGTGTGCTTACAATAAACTCCAAGCAGAGCACTGAAATTGGCTTCTGAAAAGGCAGCCTAAAACAAACAGGAAAGGACTCGAATTTGTGTTCGTGGAGCTCTTACCCAGCATTAGAGGGTGGAAGCATCAGGAACTTAGCTAAAAGATGGCACCAACTAGCCTGCGTCATCAGAACACAGATACTTGCTTCCAGAACAACTTGAAATCGAGAGAAAATCCCATGTGTGGGAGCCCTCAGGAAAACAGTAAAAGGCTAATGAGCTGAACAGAGTTTCCAGCTGCTTCCAGTACAAGGGAAAGTTTGGTGTCTGAGTTACATGTGGGTCTTGGTAAACACGTTGGACTTTCAATTAAAACTAGGAGGGGGGCATATCTTAGGAGGAAAACCCTACACCCCAGAACTGAGTAAAACTTACCATTAATCAATGCAAAACAAATAAAATCAACACTCTTCAGAAATGAACAGGCATCACCCACAATGTCTACTGCACAATTAAAAGTCACTACTCAAGAAGGAAAACAGAAAAATTCGAGTCATGGGCAAGGGCAGAAGAGTCGGAAAAGCCACATTCAAAATGACTCAGATTTATAATTAATAGAAAGTTTTGTATAAAAGTTTTGTGAGTCTGAGAAGAGCAACAGAGAGGAAATAGAGGGACTGAAGGGGAAGCTCAATTGAGAGGTAGAATTTGTAAGTATACAAAGAATAATGGGAACAGTATAGAACTGAGAGTCAGTATCTGGAATGAAATATTCACTGGGTAGATTTAACTACAGAGCGCACATGGAAACAACAAATGGGCCAGTAAACCTGAAGGCAGAGCTACAGAAGTCACCACTGTGAGGAGGACAGAAAAGGGACTCATGCACACTTGAGCAGCCAGGGGCTCATGAACAAGCAGCCCAACAGGCCAAGTGTCAATTTCTTTTTAAATGAAATTACATTTAAAGATCTAAGAAATGCAAATAGAGGCAGGTTAAATGCAAACAAAGCCTGCCAGATATACCAGAAGCAAGCTGATGAAAACTAAAGGTGAATTCCTCACATCAGTCATCGAGAAGGAAACCAAGAGGCCAATTATTATATTACATAGGCCAAATATAAATAAGGGACAGGATACCCAACTTTATGGGTGTCTAAGAGCTGCACTTTTGTAATAACACAGATAGCATAAAAGAATGAAAAAACGGCACTATACAAACAGAAAGAGTAAGAAAACTAGAGACTGACAACATTAGATGAAGCAGATCAAAATGCCACGTTATCAGAGATGAAGTGCCACCCGGAAGCTTAGCACTCAGATGTGTGTCTCTTCTCTTGATGAGTGGCATGAACAGATTGTGAAATGTAAGTGAAATGTAAGTGAAATGACAGATCTTAGCAACACTGTCAACTACCTCAACTTAAACAATTGGCAGAAATTCTCATTCTTTATTTGTGAGCACAAATCATTCACCAGGACAGGAAATACAATGAGCCAGACATGGAAAAAAAGGTGAAGGAAATCTAACTTTGATATTTTCTGTTTATGTTAAACTGGAAACCAAGTTTATTTTTTAAAAGCCTCAAATATCTGAAAACTAACCAACACAATAGTATTCGCACTAGCCTCAGCTGTTAACAATTAGAGACTGAATTAACAAACTTAATTATTTATTTTATTTTATTTTCAAACTTAATAATTCTTATAGAACTAAACATTACCACTTAAAAATGATGTGTCATGAAAATATTGTTGAAAAATTGGAGATGTCACATAATTTTATTTATTTGAAGTTTAAGTACTGGCAAAACCCAGGTCATATAACAGTAATCAAAATAATGTCCACCTTTGCAGGGAGGTGGGCTGATGGAGATGCCTGTTTTCACTGTGGTTATTGTCATGGGGGTGTGTGTATTTCCAAAAATGCACTCAACTACACTGCTAAGATCTTTGCATTCCACTGTAGGTAAATGCTACCCAATTCAAAGAATGATTTAAGGAAGTGTTGAGGAGCCAGACATGGCAGCTCATGCCCACAGTCACGGCACTTGGATGGTGGCGGAAGCAGAGTTACCAGTCCAAGGCCAGATTCTATAAAGCAATTTCATTTCATATCCAAGCTATATATATATCAACAGTATAAACAATGGGTATTTCAATTTTATAGTGGGTGAATAGTAAGAGGACTTTCTTCTTATCTCAGTTATAAAAGGAGTTAAAGAAGCCTCTAGAGCCAAAGACAATCCACCACAGTGGCAATGTCAAGCACACTGTAGAAAACTGAGGTGCCTGGCTGACACTGGGTGACTGTTTTAAAACAGCTTCTCACTGATTCTGTGGCATGAGAATTAACGGCTGCCTTGTTCACCTCATGAAACTGCACCCAATGGCCCCAGATAGAGATCAATGACCTATTTGGTGGCCTTCTGCTGCTTAAAAACCATATAAACTTAATGCAAAGTGCTCTTCTGTCCCTCAGGGTACTCACTTATACTATGTGGGCCATTTACATCACTGCCTCATTCTGTTATCAGGAATGAGTTGCTTGGGACACTGTAAAAGGTGGTGCTTACTCCATCAAGGAGCCTAAGCTGGGGCTGGGGCTGGGGCTGAGGAAGAACTCTGTGGCAGAGTACATGCTTAGTGCACAAAAGGCTGGTTCAATCCTCAACACAACAAACACGAAAACAAAAAAAAATCCTACAATGTGAATGGCACATTGACTAAAAATCAGTATTTAAGTCACATGCATTTTTAAAATTAAGCTTTAAATCTGGACTTAGAAAACAAAGATTATTTCTGGTCTTGTAAGAAGCAGGCTTAGACGCTGCAGAATGTTGCTTGTATGTGTGTTATAAAGTGAGGCTGAGAGACAAGAGGCCACAACAGAGTGTGCAGTCTACAGTCAGAACATGTTTCTGAAAAAGAAAAAGTAGACGTAGTTGGATAAGATTGCAAAAAAGGTCAACTTCATTGTAAACTAGAGAACAATTTATCATTTGCTTCTCGTATTCATACTTTCGAAAGTTGTTTTCTTCCAAATTATACCTAGAACATGACATATGGGTTAGTTACACAAAACACATGATCTGTAATAGTTTACTTTCACAGGCACTAGAAATAAGTATATTTTTAGCTCTTAGACATCAGAACTCCAGACTTTTCCTATGGGGTGGAAAATGAGTTCAAGATAAAGGTCACCATTTGTAATTAATTATAATGTGCAAATTTTTGCATATGGTACTAATCTTTTGATTTATTCAAGAAGTCAATTTAATTAGTTCCTGGGGAAACATAAAAAGTTATGTCCAAAATAATACGAGGTAAATGTTAAGTAAGAACAGATGCTGCCTCTCTATTTAATGCCATTAAGGGACTTAGCAACTTGAATGGAAAGTATTCACACTTATTTGACTAACCAGTCAGGTCAAATGATGTTTCTGAGACTAAAGGCTTCGTTTAATTATAAAGTTTATTTATCATTTCCAGTAATATCCAAATTGCAACATCACTTATTTATTTTAAGTAGGAATATATTGCAAATGAAAGCCCAAATTAATGTCACCTGACTAGAGGGCCCCCTCTCGCCTATGTGGCAGGGGGAGGTATATGGCTCACACCTGGATTCAAACCCACTAAAGCAAAGGTGAGGAAAAGAAGAGGATAACGAAACGAAACAAAACAAAACAAAAATCAGAAAAGACCTGAGTTTTCCCTACCCGAGTCAGTCCCACGTTCTCAGCAGAGACTGAAATTCTGGCTAGTCCTGGAACTTGCAGACCCATTCGAAACCTGCCCTGCCCCAATCCTCAGCACTCTCTCACATTGTATCCTTGTGTCGTCAGAGTCTTCACATTTCCTTGCAATACCGTGCTCTTCCTCATGTGGTGACTCCCTAAAACCTTTCCGGTTAGTTGTATACAAGGCAGCCATTTTCCATTCCACATATGGGACAACTGCTAAGTCCGTTCATAACTCTCCATATCTCCTATCTCTTAAAGCTCATCGGTGATATGATGAAGACTGTCGATGGCACCAGACAGAGACCCACACTGGACAATGTTCAGAGTGAGACTTTGGAGGACTCAGTCCTCTATGCAGACAAGGTGACCTGAAGATTGTCAGAGGAAAACTGTCTTCCAGATAAAACACAATTGACACACATGTGAATTCAGAGACCAGGATCTGCAAGCACAGGATCTACACAGGTTCAAGACAGGTGGGGTCCCAGCACTGAGAGTGGGATGTGGACATGAAGTGACATCACTTGTAAAGAAAAACTTAGTCTCACTGGCTATATTAACCACACTTCAGTGTAGGTTCCACGCCTAGCAGCAGAAGGCCAACACAAACAGACTCAATGGTATTTCTGTGGACTGGGCATCTTTTTCTTTTCCTTTTCTTTTGGGTGTATATTTTGGTTTCTGGTTTTGTGTTTTTGTGACTTGCGTATGTGACTTCTTATTTCTTTGTATTTTAAAGAGTGAGGTGGAGAGAGCAGAGTGGGGTTGAGGGTGGGCAGGAGGTTGGGTGAGTAAGGAGGTAGGGATCATCTGTGAGGAGCTGAAGGAAAACTGTCACCAGAATATATTGCACAAAAATGTGTTTCAATTAAAAGAAGCTCAAAATTCTATGATCACTACATGACAAACTGCAGACTACACTGTTTCTGAATAGAAAATGTATGCTATTCTTAACAGAAGTAACTAGCCAGAATACCCTTAACTAGTATTTCCTAAATGAAGGAAGAAGAAAGACAAAGGAAATGTGAAGGACAGGAAGAAAGGAATAGCAAAAATAACTGAAGCACCGCAGAAGAGGTCCACCCTTGTGGTACTGGGGATGGAAGCCAGGACCTCAAGAGAGGTAGGAGGTACCCTTTGTGACAGTAGGCATGGAAGCCAGGCAGGTCTACTGGGGATGAAAGGCAGGGACTCGCAGACGGCAGGCAGGTACTCTGCCACTGAGCTGTAGTTCCAAGTCTACTCTCAGATCACTTTCTATTCTTTACAGAATTGTGGATTATAGACAGAACTTGAAAATAAAAGCTGAAGGAGAGTTGACAGACGAGGCTCCAATCCAATGGGTCATGGCCCAAGCACCTCCCAGGACCTGAAACCTAAACATTTTGATTTTTAAAAAGGCATCTGAATATCTGGTTCTAAGTCATTAGTATTTTCTAGGCACATTTCTGGTTCTGGAACCCCTGCCAACTGAACTGACTTAGAGAAAATGAAAACTGCCATTTACGATACAAAGCTTCATGTCACAGTTTAAAAACCCCAATGACACTAACACAGAAATCACTCTCTACATAGTGGACATTGCCCTGAACTGTAATAGCTATTTTTTTTATCTATACCTCACAACAATGACAGATAAACACACCACACACCCACATACCAATGCACCAACAGCCAGCAAAGAATGGCCACCTGCAGGGGCCAGGGGTAGTTTGTGAGGTCTGCTCTAAATGGATTCTGTAACACCACTAAAGAAAAATTTAGATGAAGCTTATTAACCATAATACTAATAATCTGACCATTTGGGACTCAAAGGCAAGACAATGCTAACTACCCCTCTCCACAAGGCAATGAAAGAGAAGCTGTTGCAAGGCTGAAGGGAACTCCTCCTTCCTGAGTTTGCACTGTCCACACTCACAGAAGCTGGAAGTATGTTTGCTTCTTCAGACACCTTGACACATGAGAACTACACACATTTATAGGGTACCATGTGAAGCTTCAAAAAATCCACTCATCTTTAAACTACATAATTACATCATTTAGGTAAAACTTAAGACAACTGTAGTAGCCTTATTGAACAATAATTCAAAATAAGACTCTAAAAAACTGGCATTTATGAAATAATTAGCATTTTGAAACCTGGCCACTTCAGTTGAGTTCTTTAAAACATTATAAGGGGCTAGAGAGATGGCCCCATGGTTCCCCCAGAGGACCTAGGCTTGATTCCTAGCACCCACATACAGACTCACAAGACTAACTGTAACTTCAGTCCTAGGGGATATAACGACCTCTTCTGGCTTCCATGGGCACTAGGCATACATGTGGTACACAGAACGTACATACAGGCAAAGCGCCCATACATATAAAACTATGTTACAACAATTATATTAGTTAGTCTTAAAATGTGAATGCATATCTTTATTTCTTAAGGATATATACAAGCATAATTATGAAGTTGATGAGCCATGCCTCAGCCTGGCCTCAGAGTCATGAGGGGACGGACCAACCATGACATGATGGGATGAAATGGGGTAGTGGGCTCACTGCATCTCACACTGATAAATGTCTGGAACAGAACAAGGCACAAGCACACCCTCCCCTAAACAAGCTGTCTTGTGTGTGGTATTTAAGAAGAGAGCAAACATTTGATCTTTGCTGTTTTTAGTAACAGTTTTCTAATACAGCTCATTATTTTACATGTTAATAGTCAGCACTATTATTTTTAACTGATAGTTTATTCCTAAGACTGAATTCACGAATGAAGATATGAAGAAGTTAAACACCTACTTCATTTAGAATGAATTTTAAACCAGAGGTGATGGATTATAGTTAAATATTTCCCCAGATATTTGACAGAGTTTTGAAATAATTAGATAACAATAAGTGATTGGAAGTCTAATTTTATCCTTCATTTCTAATGGGCCAGAAATTCAAAATGCAACATTTTGTATCGCTATAAAATTGTGTGTCGAGTGCTACCCAGGCAGTGTGACAGCCATCATCTTTACTAGAGCAGCTGTGCCTGCTTGCAAGTGATTCTCAAGACTGAACCTGCTGACTGTCGACATTCTCTCGGGGCGTAAGGAGTAGGGAGGGTCATCGACCCTCAGCAAGGTTGCAGCTCTTCTCCTTCACCTCTCTGGCAGCTGTATGGAATTCTGACTTAACTGCATATGGCGTCATTGCTGCAGGAGGCACTAAAGAATACGAGGGTGGAAAGCTAACTGTAACCATGCCTAATAAAGTTACTGGTTCCCTGAGTCGGACTTCGGTGGAATTGTACTTTGGTTTGTCTTCGGTGTCTTATAAGGGAGAGGGAGAGGGAGAGGGAGAAGGGACTTACATGTGAAACAAGCTTGTTCCCTAACTTGAACTAATAAAAAAAATTTTAAAAAAAATTAAAAAATTGAAAAAAATAAAATAAAAAAAATAAATACAAAAACCACTGTGATGCAAAAGCTTGAAAAAACCCTGCTCCAGAGTTCTTTAACATAAATAAAAAAGAATAAAGAAAGTGGAGTCAAACTCAGACCAAAGAGGCTACAGCATGCAGTAAATAGGGAAGCAGTAGACACAATAAATGTTTTCGAAACAAAAATTAAAAATAACATCCCATTCTTCAAAATAACAATAAAAATGATACCAAGAAAGATACTTTAGTCAAGCCAAGCAGCATTTTCCGTTTTGTCTTTTCTTCCATTAATGTGACGTTTAGAAAGCTTCTACCCCATGAGTCATATACAATGGAAACAGCTGAGCAACAGGAGCACATGTGCTCTGGAAACTTACTTTAGTTTCTCCTCCTCACTCAATGTCTCCCACAGTGCTTCAATTTGTGCCGTTGCATCCTCCAGACCAGTCTTGGGATGCTCTGCGAGGAACTGAGCTCGATGATCTTGAAGAAACAGGGCACGTGCTGACATGGGCTTCTTGACTGCTCGACTGCTAATTAAGTCATAGGCTGTAAGCTGTCCAGATCTGTTATCTATTACATTTGAGGGCTTGCTACAAGGACCATCACTGAGATTCTTTGGTTCAAGGGTTGGGTGACTATTACCACTAACGTTACATGCTAAACTTTTTTGTGGCACTAAAATTTTCACAGGTTCGATATTCTCTCCCATCGCATTCAACACATTTCCCTTGCTCCAGTCATCTGCACAGATTTCCACAGGTTTCTCAAGAAATGCTTCTCCCCGATCTCCCCCTCGCTCTTCTGTCCCATTCCTGCCATTTTCTTCTTGGCTAGGCTCACGGGAGCCTGCCAAGTAAGTCTTACTGTATTTACTCTGGACATCCTCTGATGATAAACTATTCATGGGGATATTTTGGAACGTACTTCTGGTGTCCTTACTAATGCTAGAATGTTCACTACTAAAATGACTATCGCAGTGGTCATTTGCATTTATCTGTTGATTTAAATAATGATCAATGTTTTTTCTAGATTCATCATTTTGGAAGTCAATAGCCAAAGTGTCAGCACTTGGATAATTATTTCCAGATGACTCCATTTTATTAAAGAGCACATCTGTTTCTGCTGTTTCACGAGCAGCCATGTTGGCTGAGGAAACATCTGTTTTGTTATTTTCACAAGACTCTGTACTGGGTAGTGGTCCATAACAGGTCACCATCAGATTTTCAAGAGCAATTAAAACAGATTCCTAAAAATACAAATGAATAAATATTAGGGGGCACACTGACAATATCTAAAATAATAACAAAAATTTAAAAAGATAACTTTAATATGGGAGCAGTTAAGACTCTATAAGTTTATAAATAGCATAAATACATACAAATCTTTAATTGAAAAAGGTTACCTTATTCTGTAATAACACTTGACTCTTATCTGGTGTTAGATTTACATCCAGCTCAGCTGAAGGAACATCAATTTTCAGAAAGAAAATGGGATACAACCGAGTAGATTCCTTTAGGCACTTCAGATTATAATAACGTCGGATTAGCTAGAAATATATGCAATGAATAAAAGACAAAAGTATCTTGTTATTAGCAACTTTAAATGCTACTGAAAAGTGTACCCTGAATGGAGAAACTAAGTAGATGTGACCACTGTCCTGGATGAGCAGGGCCTGCCTGAGCAGGACTGTCCCTTGGAGGCCCTGACTCTGTGTGGAGCACAGGCTCTCATAACACGTCCACACTCAGTGCACTTGGCTTCACAGTTAATCACAGTGCCATGGAGATTTGAAGGCCTAGAGTACAAATTACCCCTATGCTCCTTTCTGGTTATTTCCCTTCAGGTTGTCATTAAATAGGTGTGGTAATTCAGCTACCATTCTAGTATTCAAAGCCAACCTGTTTCAAATGCATGAGCAAAAGTGTGAGTAAATAAATATCTTAAAAACCATTTAACATTTGTTTCTTAAGCACTCAAAGTGGGGATCACAATGCATCATTGAGTTGTAAAAAGTAAATGAAACATAAGTAAAATACTAGATGAAAGGGATTTTGTTTATTTTTCTTTTTCTTATTTTAAACCAAGTTCTTAGAAGTAGTCTCTAATAATTTGACAAATGACAGATTTAAAGTTTTTAATTTCTGGGGCTGGAGAGAGGGATCAGTGGCTAAGAGCACTGGCTGCTCTTCCAGAGGACCCAGGTTTAATCTCAGCACCCACACGGTAGCTCAGAACCATCCAGAACTCCAGTTCCAGGGGATCTGATGCTCTCTTCTGGCCTTCTTAGGCACCAGGCACATGGTACAGACATACATGCAGGGCAAATAAAGTAAATAAAATAAAACTTAGAAAAAGAAAAAAAAATATTTAAAAAATATTAAATTCTTGATCCAAGGGATAATTTTCTTTCTAAAAGTGATTACCTTTAGTATATCTTTCTGGTGTACTGGTCGACTATTAATAAAGATGAAACTTCTTTCTGGGGTTGAAAGACTTGTGGAATTGTGGTCTGCATCAAGCTTTGGAAAGAATCCACTTAGGTAAATCTACAATTGTGATGCACAAGTACAGAAGACGCAATGTCAATAATAATGTTCCAGAGGTCTGATTACCTACAACATACTAGAAGGCATCATACAAAATAGCACATGAGATTTGTAACTTCAGGTCACATACATGCTGAGAAGCATGGCTTGAGAATGAATCATCAGTAAATGCTGCAGAGTACTAAACCATTGTTCTCAGCTCTAACACATTTTGTAATTCAAAGGAAAATACTGGTATTTGAAAAAAAAAACTTTATGAATGGCCCTAGTTTCAAAATTTTAACTGTCATAGGACAAATACCTTGTTTTGTTTTAAAATGTCTTTCCTCATACAGTGAGTCCCCGCCCACTCACTGGCTATTTGTCTTTTCCTCTTCAACTATTAGTTCCTACAAAAAGCAGCTGTTTCTCTCTTTGTTCTGAATACATACAAAGCTAATTGCACTGGGTTTTCACTGCTGTGTTTAAGGAAAAAGAAAAACTTTTACATTGAATTAATTTCCTTATGGCTAAATACTGGCTCTACAGTGTATGCTATCTTCATGACAGTGCACAGAACTTCACTACGGACATTTTTGTGATTACTTACATACAATGCCTTTCTCTAGTTTACAAATATATCAAGAAAAGGAAAACTCTGAAGTGTTGTGGGATAGTAAGATGTGTTACATTCGTTTATGCTGTGGAATATTTGTTTAATGCAAAGATGTGTTGCATTCTTTCATGTTGTATTTGTTTAACTCTGTAAAGCTGTGTTACTTTGCCTGCCTAAAATACCTAATTGGTCTAATAAAGAGTTGAATGGCCAATAACTAAGTAGGAGAGAGAAATATTCGGAACTGCCAGGCAGAGAGAATAAATAGCAGGAGAAATCCAGGCTCAGGGGAAGAAGGGAGAAGTGAGAAAAGGAAAAGGAGAGGAGGGTACCAGGGGTCAGCCACTCAGCTACCCAGCCAGCCACAGAGTAAGAAGGAAAGAAAGAGAAATAGAATAAAGAAAAGTAAAAAGCCCAGAAGCAAAATGCAGTTAAAGAGAAAAAGAATAATTTAAGTTAAGAAAAACTGGCCAGAAATAAGCCAAGCTAAGGTCAGGCATTCTCAAGCAAGAATAAGCCTCCCTATATTTATTTGGGATTTGGATGGACCCCCAAAGAGTACAAAAAAAAAAAATCATCTACACTGAAGGGTACTAGAAAATCTGACCAGAAAAAAAGAGGGATTTAAGGAATAGAAGGATGTGCCTACTTCTACCTTGAGATAATCATCATAGCACAGAAAACTGTTAGGGATTTCACTTACAGTCCACTTTCCCCCCTTTACATTCATGGACTGTGTGTGTGTGTATGTGATGTGCATATGCTTGCATACGCATATGTATATTCTGAGGTATAACCTTATCTGAAACAAATCAAACTAGATGTGTTATGAACCCCAATGCGCAACTCTAAAGGTAAACATTCAGCTTAGTTTAAGGAAAGCAAATATGTGAGTACAGTGCTATTTATAGTCAAGCAGTAACCATGACTCCCTCTAACAACACAGCCTGTAGGCTATCACCTATGTCTATGGCTATCCCTGCACTTGCAAGTAAGTGCTTAAGGAGATGCAGCACCAATTTTAGAACACTAAGTGCATTACTGTCACAGTGCCAATGTGTACCAATTTGAAAAAATAAATTAATAAATCTGGATAATCCATTACAAGATGATAGCACTTAATTAACTGTAGAACTTCACAGCATTTATAAATGGTTGTGTAATTTACCAGGTAACATGAGTCTCTTCTTAAAGCTCCCGCTGGGCACCAGAAGAGTCTGCTTAGCCTCTGAAGGACTTACTGAGTATGTGGATTAAAGAAAAGACACAGAGGAGGAGAGAAGAGAAAAGAGAAGAAAAGTACCCCCATGCCCTAAATAGGAAAAGAATGAAGGAAATGAAGTACAGTACAAAGTCAGTGGTTTCCTTTCTCACTACTCTGGTTCCCATTGTGTAACTATTGTTACTACTAGACACTGGGCTTTAAAAATGAAGATAATCTGAAAAGCTGACAAAGCATGTTAAAGTTGCATGGCGAGTCAAGTAGCCATGGTGCATGTAATACTCTGCAGATTAAACATCTGACTAGTTCACAGATAAAGAACAAAAAACCCAGACCAGTTCAATAAAGAAACAAAGCCTCAAAGACTTCTGTACCTCTACCTAAAACAGAAAACAAAAATCCCCTCAAAATACAATAAATTCCATCCTCTCAGTTGTTTTTCAGGTGAACCTCTCTCCCTCCTCCAGCCTCCTTTACAAACTGGCATCTCTCACCTGGCACTGTTTGACACACCTTTAATCCAGCACTCAGGAGGCAGAGGTTTGAGGCCCACCTGATCTACACAGCACTGCAGCAATTCCCAGGCAAGATGGGGCTTGTAGTGGGGCTCTGCCTCAAGTAACAACAGACACCCAGATAAACTGGCTTCTCTTTCTCAATAACTAATGCAAGCTTGTTTCGTTGTTTTTCACCATGCAGGCCTGATGTCAATGACAATCCTGTAAGAAGCAATCTACAGAATGAACTGACTTCCAGCTCCTTCTGGATCTACTGGCTCCTCTGAGACACCTCTGCTTCAGTCTCACCTGCTATGTTCTTTACCTCTGTTCTTGAAGGATGACTGTATCCCCCCGCCCCAGGTTCCATGTTCAGGCCCCCTTTGCTCTGTAATTTCTCAGTAATCTCATTCTCATCTCTAGTTCCAACAGCTGCCCACTGCTAATACTGAGACAGCAATGTTGTAGTTAGTTATTTCTTGCATCAAGTAGCTGTCAAAAAATGAATTTATATTAAAACATTGTAAAGTATTTTTATCTCACTTTTAACCCCCTGTCCAACCGGCAACTTCTGTATTCTTTATCCCACTCGAGAGTCCATAGTCTGTAAGACAAATCTGTTCTTTACCTTGAGTATAAGAATGCAGCCTGTCTGATCTGCTGACCCTTGTCTTTCTCTTTTTTTCCAGTAAAGCTCCATAATATCATACATATCTAAATAACATACCAATTTCTAAAATAGTCATCTAAAAACTGTTCACATGGAGTGGAACAAGTTCACATGGAGATTCCCTCTCCTAAATGCAAACTATAGAGGGTGATAAAAACCAATGTTTAAAGGAATTTCAAAAGAACTAACAACACCAATGACAGATGAAGTTCAAGAGTGTGTGTGTGTGTATGTGTGTGTGTGTGTGTGTGTGTGTGTGTGTGTGTGTGTGTGTGTGTGCTACATAATGGGAAGTGAGGGCTGAAAGAAGAGGCCCTGTATGTGTTAGGACCAGAAGGAGGAGGCCTCATTTGGAGTTAAAATCTAACAGAGGGCTGAAGGATCAGTCTTTCCACTTGGAACATGAAGCTCACATAACACCTCTCTGGAAGAAAACAAAACGACTTACATATTGTGACCACTGTCTGCAACCACTTGCCAGGGCCACAGTAAAGAACAGAGCCAGCTGCAAAACCAAGACAAAGCCAGGCCAAGCTGCAGCCTGGAAGTCTTGGGTGAGAGGCATAAACTACTAATGTAACACCTGGTTTCAAACTGGGACCAGATAGGTGCTGGGCTGCAGGAAGGGACTGTAACAACAGAAACAAACTGCTATCCACGAGTCTGCAAATTACAGTTTGAAACCACATAAAACAACAGAGAAGAAAACTCTTTTCTCTCAGGAGAGAGAAATGATAGAACACTGTGGAAGTGACTCCAGGATTAAGTATTATGGCGTGGAATTCAAACCAGAAAATAGTATCAATTAAGTCAGAAAGTAAGCAAGCACAGACAGCTACGAATAAGGTTTAGAAAAAACTGAAAACAAATTCTAAGTTCTGAAAAAAAAAAAACATAGTTTGAGGACTAAAAATCAAGTGGTACTAAGACATTCACTCAGCTTGGAGCAGAACTAAAAATATCAAAGAGCGGATAGGTGACAAGAAGGACAACCTAAGGAGTTCCAACAATTGACACCAGAAAGCACCTCACAAAAGTTGTTAATGCAGGGGCTCAGGTGGCACCACAGCCTATAACAAAGATACTTCCAATACCAAACACATAAAAAGGGACCCTTGTCACAAAAAGAAGAGATATAGAGACAGTCTGTATCCAAGGTTCCCAAAGGCCAACACATACATCAGTCATTCCAGTCCAAGGAAGGAAAACATGGTGGGCAAATTTTACACTCAAAGATACCTAATGGGGAGCAGAATCAAATGAGAGGTGATAGCTGGCAGTAGCTGGGATAACAAAAATTAGGATTGTTTTGACCAAAGATAAGAAAATGCCCAAAGAAATTCTGATATTGAACAAGACTTTGAGTATACAAGCCAGAGTGTGGAGATGGAAGGCTGCTGGCACAGAAACACAACAGCACAACACAAAACAGTAACAGAAGAGAGATCAGACTGTGTGATTACACATTCCAAAGTTAGGAGACATTCTCCAGCACTTGAACTAGAACATTATAAACACATGTATTATACATTCTTCCATGCAAAAATAACCATGTGAAGATAAGGAAAATTCCGGCCATCTATGAGAAATTACCAGGAATCTTTCTGTAAATCTGTCTCCCAAACCAAGGAAGAACAAATCAAAACAAACAAATCAACAACAACAAAGGAACAAATTAAAACAAAAAAAAAATAGTAAACACAGATCTGTCTCAAAATAGAGTGAAAAAAAAATTACAGGACTGACTTGTGTGACTCCCAGTCACACATTACAGCTAATGAAGGTCTATGAAACTGTTTTCCACACTTGAGTGTGGCACCTAAGGACTTTGAAAATACAGATCTGCCTCAGTTTACTTGAAAACAGGCCTTTGACACCAATTTCTAACAAGCTTCCATGTGATGCCAACACTATCAGTCTGTAGATCATATCAGGATGCCTGGTATATCAAGAGCATGAGCACACACAGATAACTAAGTTCCAGGAAACTAGAGGGAAGCTAAGGAAATTCAGATT